GTATAGAAAGGACTAGGAAGTATTGGGTATGTATTCCGAGTAAACGAATGTCCTCACTGCTGATCACACCTTTACAGTATTGGGCCCTGGAATCGATAGGTACTTGGACATTAACCCATACACAATGTTGATCTCATTAACAAGTTGATGTTCTGTACCTTGTACATGTAAGATGTATATTAACATTAACAAGTTGACGTTCTGTACCTTGTGCATGTAAGATGTATATTAACATTACCAAGTTGACGTTCTGTACCTTGTACATGTAAGATGTATATTAACATTACCAAGTTGACGTTCTGTACCTTGTACATGTAAGATGTATATCAACATTAACAAGTTGACGTTCTGTACCTTGTACATGTAAGATGTATATCAACATTACCAAGTTGACGTTCTGTACCTTGTTCATGTAAGATGTATATTAACATTAACAAGTTGACGTTCTGTACCTTATACATGTAAGATGTATATTAACATTAACAAGTTGACTTTTGTACCTTGTACATGTAAGATGTATATTAACATTAACAAGTTGACGCTCTGTACCTTGTACATGTAAGATGTATATTAACATTTACAAGTTCACATCTCTGACTATTGTTTACGTATTAAATCTGCAGTGTAAGCTATCATACCGTGATCTCATTTAACGATCTGTAATAGTGTTTTACCGCGAGAGGAACCAATGCTATTTCACTGATAACTTTATGGTTTTTTGTTTTTTTTGTTTAATCATTACTGTTGTTTTACATAGGATTCTGCTACCTTTCCCGGTTGTTGAACTCGTTCACATCATTCCTTAGAAAACACTTATCCTTAGTTCTTTGATAATTATGCAAGAATCAATACTGCTAGAATCAATACTGCAACATTACAAAACCATGCTGACTCACCATATCACATTAATTAATGATTGACCAATTAACGTGCCTGTCTGTTTCCAGCGTCCAACGGCCATATGGTGTACCAGGGGAACGTGCAGCAGCTGTACCACAGCCAGCAGGTGCCCAGTGCCGTGTACCACCCGTTCAACTCCGGCTATGTGCACAACGGAATGTACCCCTACAACTACAGCGGAGGGCCAGGTACGTCAAGGCGCCACACTCATGTAGACTTAGTTAAAATATAGATGGACACTAGATCGATATAAAATCTTAAATCCTTCAAACAGATAATGCATCAATTAATTAATATTGAAACTTATGAAGGATCTAATATCAACTTTTCCTGCTTTTAAATTTAATTTTTCATTATGTTTGTCGTTTCCTTTTTTACGTGTTACATTCAGTTAGCATGAATCAATATACGATCAATATCCTTATTAGAACTTGAATGATATTTATGTATGATATTGTTCTCATCTGAATGGGAAGCGATGTGCTTAAGTCGTCACCCAACTTAACGAAATCTTAAACACAAAACTACATATGTATATAACACTTGATGATATGAATATCTTTTTGGTCCAGATCGTTCCATTATAGTGGAATACCAAGATGAGGAACAGTATTATCACAACTATAGAAGGAATGATGAAGACTCCCTCAGGAAGGGTGCGAAGGTCAAACGCACACACAGTGACCTCACAGGCACCAAGAGAAAAAAAGATAGGAAACGAAGGGAGTCGCCAGCGTTTGAGAGAACAAGGCATGATGACCGAGCACGAAAGGAAGAACGACCAAGGACAGCGTCTATAGAAGTGCACAGTCGCCAAAAGAGGGCTCCCCCTCCTCCTCCTCCTCAGGGTTCCGGTCGACAGTCTACCAGTGGCCTTAGATACTCTGAGGAACAAAGCAAATCACTAGACTTTAACGATCAGACACTGTCAACACAGTGCGCAACTGATAGTGCCAAACTTCGTGCAATGCAAGAGAAATCCAAGGATCATGAACTCAGTAGAAAGTGGCAGAACCAGGACGAGTTGAAACTGAACCTGCCCGTCAGTGATGACGACGAGCGCGGCAGTGTGCACGTGCGATCTTATGAGTACACAGGTCAATTGAAAAAACCTGAAAATAAACATAGTTCATCTAGCAACAAAACAGACGGTGTTGCTAGGGCTTATGTTAATCCTTCCAAACATTCACATTCTAATCCAGCATTCTCACCAGATGAAATCATCAGCTCTACGGCCAGGAAGGACGTCCCGTCACCTGGCACGAAACATCGCAAGGTGGAGAAAACTGAGAGTAATACAGACGGTAAGAATGGCCTTTGAGGATCACGCATGTAGCCCGTTGATACCACAAATATATTGTAGTTCATTATCAGGAAGCAATTGACAATAAATCATATCGAACGGAAATGAGTTGTAACCCATCAATATGTTAAAAAGATGCTTTGAAGTTCTGGTTTATACTTTTGGTAGTGTTTCAGTATTAAAGTTACATATGGCGCCTTGAAGTCACAATACCTTCGACCTCGCACTTGCATTATATTTAATGTTTTAAGTTTTGTTCTAATTAGAGAAGCTAGACTATGCGTGAGTTCATTCTCGTCTAGTTATTGCAAATAAACACTGTTGGATATTTGTTTATTAATCATTATTTCAATGCTGCTGTTTCAGGGAAGCAAGTGTCTGCTGCGTTTGGCTTCCTAGACAACTACCTTTCTGATGACGACGGTGAGAGTCGAGCACAGTCGCCACAACCTTTCGTGTGAGGTAGGTCATCTCTAGGTTACTCAAACTTTAAGCGTTCCCTGCTGTTTTCTTCCCCTCAATTATCCACTTTCGTAGCTCAGAACTCACCAAGCAATGAAAGTGTGAAATTCGGTGTCAAAAAGATACGTTATTGGATTGCGTAATTGGATTACTTCTACAACATAAGTCTAGTGAAGGGTGTGCCACCAATAATATAAAATTTATATTAATGAAACATATCGCATTGTGGAAATCAAGCTAATATTAACCTGCTGTGCTAATAAAAGTTTGAACAGCTGTGCCCCGATGTTTTGTAATTGGTATAGAATGTTCGAACATCATTTATAAACCCTGTTTACTGCTAGTACATACTAGGGAGCTGCCTAATGCCCACTTGTTGCGTCATAGTATATATTATCATTAGTGGTAGCGAGTAACATTCCGTACGATTATTTGTATTATCCAATGGTGTCAGTTCGTTGCGATGAAATATGTATGAACATTAGGGCATACACTGATGAACGGAGGTAAATTCTGGCAATAGGTTGATAGCGACTACAGACTCAGTGTTACACCTCATCAATAGGTTGATAGCGACTACAGAATCAGTGTTACACCTCATCAATAGGTTGATAGCGACTACAGACTCAGTGTTACTCCTCATCAATAGGTTGATAGCGGCTACAGACTCAGTGTTACACATCATCAATAGGTTGATAGCGACTACAGACTCAGTGTTACACATCATCAATAGGTTGATAGCGACTACAGAATCAGTGTTACACCTCAGCAATGCATTGTACTATATACAAACTTAGGTAGTATAAACTAACTATCTCTGTATTCTTCTGTTTGACTTATCTGTTACTTCATTCTTTAAACCTCAATGTTCACAGCAATTTTATTTTATTTTTCAGTGTGACGCAATACATTCCAGTCAATGATGCAATATACCGGGGATGCATCTGTGCAGAATTCTATTCGGCCCCAGAACGTCCCGGTAACATGTCGGGTCGGAAGCCAATTAAGTGTTTGCTTGCAAGTGTTCTCGCCTGTCAAAGACTACAATGACGTACATACGTGACGACTGTCACGATCTCCTCTACAAACGGGTGTCCGGGGCCGTTTTTGGGCTTTGTTAATTTTACAAAGACAATGTTTTGACATTCAATCAGAAGTCTTGGCACTGTATTATTGGAGGATACCATTTACACTGAAATGCTAGTGATATTGGACACGGTAACTTGTCCTGGAGGACGATATAAATGATGTTGGACACGGTAACTTGTCCTGGAGGACGATATAAGTGATGTTGGACACGGTAACCTGTCCTGGAGGACGATATAAGTGATTTTGGACACGGTAACCTGTCCTGGAGGACGATATAAGTGATGTTGGACACGGTAACCTGTTCTGGAGGACGATATAAGCAACACCTGCCAACAGTTCCTTGCCAAATGATACTACCTTGCTGACAAAACATTTTAAATCGATTATAGGTTACAAATGTACCTAATGTTTTATCCGTTTAAACATGACTTTATGTCATTTAAGTCTTTTCTGTATTAGAATATTATCTACTACTTTATATTAATTATCTCCCCTCCACCTTTTTCTCATTCACTCTACAATACTTTCAACAGGTATGTTACATTTTAACACATTATATCATATCATATTCATCATCCTTTTTACTTCTTTTCTATTGTTCCTTTGATAAAATGATTTTATTTATTTACATGTTCTTTATAAGCTAGATAAAAGATTGGCCAAAAAGTCTATATATATATAGCTGATCGTCGGCCGTCAGGTATCAGTAACAGTTTACATGTATATACGGTTTTACTTCAGATCAATCATTATCTATACGGGTATTTGATGAATGCAAGTTTTACTCTTCTAGTTTATTGGTAAATGTTAATACATGCCCTTTTATACTTCTTGCATTTCTTTTATCCTAAACAAAATGTCAAGTCGACATAAAAGAGGACTGCTTGGTGGAAGTGTGTGTATGAACGCTGCGGAATGTTCCTATTCAGTATCTGTAAAGGAAGGTAGTGAGTGCACCATGTTGCGTCATAACCCGATACAGGTAAAAAAGAAAGTGATTGTTTACTAGCTAATGCGCGTGTGGGAAGGCCAGTGAGCTATTGTTGATAATGATTTATTATTGATCATGTAGTGTTATACCAAAGATGTTCTTTATATATTGGGAAGAAAATCAAAATAGAAGTCGACGTTAGTATATAGTCGGACTGCGGACATAAGGGACTGGTGATAGTGCTACATATGACGTGTCAAGCCACGTGACAAGTGCATTACGTTGCCGGGGATTAACGCCTCTCTTGGAGTGGTTACAGATCTGTGTCGAGTGTCTATTAAACACGAGAAGTCATTGTGTATTCGGATACAGTGTTAAAATGTCATTGTTTAGCGATGTCATCTGATTTATTCATTTTAGATGCGCAATATTATTGTAACGTGTGAATGTACATGTTTGAAGCGCGACCCTTGTCACGTGGCTGCTTAACACGTCGATGCGCAATACCTTCTGAATGTATTGGTTTACGTCTGTAAGAATATATTGTCTGTAATTGTGTCTGTTCTTATTTATATTCAACACAGTATTGTGTCATTTATTACGTTTCACGTCGAGTAATACTCAAATATATTTGTATATATATTTCTTATATCAGGTACACTGTATTCTTACTGGTATATAACGACAATAAATATTATGCCAAATATAGAGTATCACGTGTTATTTATTGAATAATGTGGAATTGTTTGTGGTATATAATACTATATATAAATTACCAGCACTGATAAGTGGAATTGCTTGTGGTATATAAAACTATATATAAACTACCAGCACTGATACGGGGTTTGATTGTGTTATATACCACTATATATAAACTACCAGCACAGATACGTGGGTTTGTTTGTTTTATATACCACTATATATAAACTACCAGCACAGATACGTTTTTTTGGTTTTTTTTAATACCACTATATATAAACCAACAGCACTGATACGGGGTTTTATTTGTGGTATATAACATTATATATCAACTAACAGCACTGATAGGTGAATTTGGTTTTGGTATGTAACACTATATATAAACTACCAGCACAGATACGGTTTTTTTGTTGTTTTTTTAATACCACTATATATAAACCAACAGCACTGATACGGGGTTTTATTTGTGGTATATAACATTATATATCAACTAACAGCACTGATAGGTGAATTTGGTTTTGGTATGTAACACTATATATAAACTACCAGCACAGATACATGGGTTTGTTTGTGGTATATCACTCTGAATATAAACTGCCTGCACTGATACGTGGGTTTTTTTGTGCTATATACCACTATATATAAACTACCGTACAGATAAATGGATATGTGTGTGGTATATAACGCTATATATAAACTACCAGCACAGAAACGTAGGTTTGTTGTGGTATATTACACTATATATATACTACCAGCACAGAAACGTGAATTTGGTTTTGGTATATAACACTATATATTAAATACCAGCACAGATACATGGGTTTGTTTGTGGTATATTACTCTGAATATAAACTGCCTGCACTAATACGTGGTTTTTTTGTGCTATATACCACTATATATAAACTACCAGCACTGATTCGTCGGTTTGTTTGTAGTATATAACACAAAATATAAAATACCAGCACAGATACGTGGGTTTCGTTGTGGTATATACCACTATATATAAACTACCAGCACAGATACGTGGGTTTGTTTGTTTTATATACCACTATATATAAACTACCAGCACAGATACGTGGGTTTGGTTGTGTTATATACCACTATATATAAACTACCAGCACTGATACGTGGGTTTTTTGTGCTATATACCAATATATATAAACTACCGCACAGATAAATGGATATGTGTGTGGTATATAACACTATATATAAACTACCAGCACAGATACATGGGTTTGTTTGTGGTATATCACTCTGAATATAAACTGCCTGCACTGATACGTGAGTTTTATGTGCTATATACCACTATATATAAACTACCGAACAGATAAATGGATATGTGTGTGGTATATAACGCTATATATAAACTACCAGCACAGAAACGTGATTTTGGTTTTGGTATATAACACTATATATAAAATACCAGCACAGATACATGGGTTTGTTTGTGGTATATCACTCTGAATATAAACTGCCTGCACTGATACGTGAGTTTTATGTGCTATATACCACTATATATAAACTACCAGCACTGATTCGTCGATATGTTTGTAGTATATAACACTACATATAAACAACCAGCACAGATACGTGGGTTTGATTGTGTTATATACCACTATATATAAACAACCAGCACTGATTCGTGGGTTTGTTTGTAGTATATAACACTATATATAAACTACCAGCACAGATACGGTTTTTTTGTTGTTTTTTTAATACCACTATATATCAACCACCAGCACTGATACGGGGTTTTATTTGTGGTATATAACATTATATATCAACTAACAGCACTGATAGGTGAATTTGGTTTTGGTATGTAACACTATATATAAACTACCAGCACAGATACGTTTTTTTGGTTTTTTTTAATACCACTATATATAAACCAACAGCACTGATACGGGGTTTTATTTGTGGTATATAACATTATATATCAACTAACAGCACTGATACGTGAATTTGGTTTTGGTATGTAACAATATATATAAACTACCAGCACAGATACATGGGTTTGTTTGTGGTATATTACTCTGAATATAAACTGCCTGCACTGATACGTGGGTTTTTTTGTGCTATACACCACTATAAATAAAATACCGCACAGATAAATGGATATGTGTGTGGTATATATCACTATATATAAACTACCAGCACAGAAACGTGAATTTGGTTTTGGTATCTAACACTATATATAAACTTCCAGCACAGATACGTGGGTTTGGTTGTATTATATACCACTATATATAAACTACCAGCACAGATACGGTTTTTTTGTTGTTTTTTTAATACCACTATATATCAACCACCAGCACTGATACGGGGTTTTATTTGTGGTATATAACATTATATATCAACTAACAGCCCTGATACGTGAATTTGGTTTTGGTATGTAACAATATATATAAACTACCAGCACAGATACATGGGTTTGTTTGTGGTATATCACTCTGAATATAAACTGCCTGCACTGATACGTGAGTTTTTTGTGCTATATACCACTATATATAAACTACCGTACAGATAAATGGATATGTGTGTGGTATATAACGCTATATATAAACTACCAGCACAGAAACGTGGGTTCGTTTTGGTATATTACACTATATATATACTACCAGCACAGAAACGTGAATTTGGTTTTGGTATCTAACACTATATATAAACTTCCAGCACAGATACGTGGGTTTGGTTGTATTATATACCACTATATATAAACTACCAGCCCTGATTCATGGGTTTGTTTGTGGTATATACCACTATATATAACCTACCAGCACTGATTCGTCGGTTTGTTTGTAGTATATAACACAAAATATAAAATACCAGCACAGATACGTGGGTTTCGTTGTGGTATATACCACTATATATAACCTACCAGCACTAATTCGTCGGTTTGTTTGTAGTATATAACACTACATATAAACTACCAGTACTGATACGGGCGTTTGATTGTGTTATATACCACTATATATAAACAACCAGCACTGATTCGTGGGTTTGTTTGTAGTATATAACACTATATATAAACTACCAGCACAGATACGTGTTTTTTTTGTGGTATATACCACTATATATAAACTACCAGCACTGATTGGTGGGTTTGTTTGTGGTATATACCACTATATATAACCTACCAGCACTGATTCGTCGGTTTGTTTGTAGTATATAACACAAAATATAAAATACCAGCACAGATACGTGGGTTTCGTTGTGGTATATACCACTATATATAAACTACCAGCACAGATACAAGGGTTTGTTTGTGGTATATTACACTATATATAAACTACCAGCACTGATTCGTCGGTTTGTTTGTAGTATATAACACAAAATATAAAATACCAGCACAGATACGTGGGTTTCGTTGTGGTATATACCACTATATATAAACTACCAGCACAGATACGGTTTTTTTGTTGTTTTTTTAATACCACTATATATCAACCACCAGCACTGATACGGGGTTTTATTTGTGGTATATAACATTATATATCAACTAACAGCACTGATACGTGAATTTGGTTTTGGTATGTAACAATATATATAAACTACCAGCACAGATACATGGGTTTGTTTGTGGTATATCACTCTGAATATAAACTGCCTGCACTGATACGTGGGTTTTTTTGTGCTCTATACCACTATAAATAAAATACCGCACAGATAAATGGATATGTGTGTGGTATATAACGCTATATATAAACTACCAGCACAGAAACGTGGGTTTGTTTTGGTATATTACACTATATATATACTACCAGCACTGATACGTGGGTTTGTTTGTGGTATATACCACTATATATAAACTACCAGCACAGATACGTGGGTTTGTTTGTGTTATATACCACTATATATAAACTACCAGCTCAGATACATGGGTTTGTTTGTGGTATATCACTCTGAATATAAACTGCCTGCACTGATACGTGGGTTTTTTTGTGCTATATACCACTATAAATAAACTACCGCACAGATAAATGGATATGTGTGTGGTATATAACGCTATATATAAACTACCAGCACAGAAACGTGGGTTTGTTTTGGTATAGTACACTATATATATACTACCAGCACTGATACATGGGTTTGTTTGTGGTATATACCACTATATATAAACTACCAGAACTGATCCGTCGGTTTGTTTGTAGTATATAACACAACATACAAACTACCAGCACTGATACGGGGGTTTGATTGTGGTATATACCACTATATATAAACTACCAGCACTGATCCGTCGGTTTGTTTGTAGTATATAACACCACATATAAACTACCAGCACAGATACGGGGGTTTGATTGTGTTATATACCACTATATATAAACTACCAGCACTGATTGGTTGGTTTTTTTGTGGTATATACCACTATATATAACCTACCAGCACTGATTCGTCGGTTTGTTTGTAGTATATAACACTACATATAAACTACCAGCACTGGTACGGGGGTTTGATTGTGTTATATACCACTATATATAAACTACCAGCACAGATACGTGTTTTTTTTGTGGTATATACCACTATATATAAACTACCAGCACTGATACGTGGGTTTGTTTGTGGTATATACCACTATATATAAACAACCAGCACAGATACATGGGTTTGTTTGTTGTATATTACACTACATATAAACTACCAGCACAGATAAGGGGGTTTGATTGTGTTATATACCACTATATATAAACTACCAGCACAGATACAAGGGTTTGTTTGTGGTGTATTACACTATATATAAACTACCAGCACTGATTCGTCGGTATGTTTGTAGTATATAACACTACATATAAACTACCAGCACAGATAAGGGGGTTTGATTGTGTTCTATACCACTATATATAAACTACCAGCACAGATACGTGTTTTTTTTGTGGTATATACCACTATATATTAACTACCAGCACTGATTCGTCGGTATGCTTGTAGTATATAACACTACATATAAACTACCAGCAGAGAGACGGGGGTTTGATTGTGTTATATGCCACTATATATAAACAAA